TTCATAAAATCCTCAAAAAAAAAAATTCCTCAGAAGAAAAGTAAATTAGGAACGAAAAAAAGAAAAGATACGAAAAATTAAAATGATATTGAAAAATATCTCCTAAATTATTTAAAAGAAAAAGGTTAATTGTAAACAAATTTGGAATAAAAAATTTTACGCAAATTATTCAATTAAGCATTTCCTACATAATATTTGGTGATATTTAACATTATCAATTTTCCAAATATAGTACAAATGACGGTATTGTTATTAAAATTTTTTAATGCTAAAATTGCAAAAACAAAAGTGGAAATTTTATTCTCTTCTCTGCATTATCAATCATTATCATTATTATCATCTTGCAGATGGAAGAAAAGAAAATTCCGTTAAACCAGAATTGATCTTACGTCAATCACTTGAAAAAAACGACGAAAACGGAAACGGTAGAAAGAAGAAGAAAGGAAGGAAAACTGCGCAAAACACGTTTACAAATTTAAAAAAAGAGAAAAAAGGAAGAAAAAAAATTAAAGAAAGAAGAAGATTTATTTGATGCTGCTGGCAGTGTGATTCTTCTTCTGTTCATTATCATCAAACTTTCCTATCATCCGAAAATATCGCAGCAACAATTTACCACCAATCATTTGGATCAAATTTCAATATTTCTTAATTATAAAATTTAAAGAAAAAAATACTTCAATCAATTATCAACTACAACAAATCATTTTATTATCAGAAAATAGAATGATAAAGGTATTTGTGATATATTTGCTACTATTATTGCAAAATATTATTGCTATTGGCTTTTATGGTATACCGGGAAGTTACTGTGCAAGACGATTATCAACATGTTGCCCAAATCGTGATGATCAATGTACAATGCCAATCTTAGGAAATCATCTCTGTTACTGTGATATGTTTTGTGATCGAGGTGAATATGGTAATGATTGTTGTCCGGATTTCAAAGCAGTTTGCCGATACAGTTCAAGAACATTAATACAAGGTCAGGTAATTTGATAAAAATTGTGCAAATTGATTTTTGCACAATTTTTTTTTGCAACATACACTTATACACACACATACACAAAGCAGATAAGCATATTATGCTGTCAATTAAACTTTCTATCTGCACAACATTTTTTTAATTAAAAAAATTTCAATAAATTTAGTTTTTGATTTGACATTTAGTAATTTTGTGAAATTAATTAATGAAATTAATTAAATTATCAATTCGTGATGTATTGATTAGATCACTAATTTGCTGATAATAAAGTAACTATTATCATCACAATTAGATGAGAAGGATTTATAGTATCCTAAATATATTTTTGTCATACAATTGTTGAAATATTGCTACCATTTAACTCCGTTTTAAAATCTAAGAAGCAAATTCGACCATTTAGTAGATTTCTAGTTTTTAATTCAAAGCACATAATAATTACTGATAAAACTTTTGTGATAATAGACGAAATTCAATCTTTTTTTTTCAAGCATTGATGTAATTCCTTTAAATATCAAATATGAGATTTAAATTTTAGATTTAAAATATGTAATAAAAGCAAGGAGAGAAAATTTTTCATACAGCTATTTATAAATTGATGAATATGAAATACTGTTAATTTTATAGTATTCAGATTGCATGTATGATGGAACAGCATACTCAGAAGGAGACACAATCACCAAAAATTGCAATAAATGGTTCATTTTTTCCTTTTTCTAAAACTGATCTTCTTGAAATTTATTTACTTTTTGATATAAACAATTATAAAAAACAATTTTATTTATTTGAGGTAAACAGAGAGAACAAAAAGAGAAGTTTGAGTAGAAAAGGAAAAAGATAAATTAAATTTAATAATGAGAGTGTAAATGAAGTGAGATTTAAAAAAAAAATTCTCTTACGTTGAAATTGATTTATAGCAAAATTCAAATTGATTTAAATGCATGTTGTAAAGCTGCTAATGTATAAAATGTAAGTTTTCTAAGGTAAAAACTTATAAAACTGATTGGTAATTACGAAATTTGAACAAATTTGTTATGGAATCTCATAATATTTTATTAGGAAAATGAAGAATTGATTATCATTACATATAAACAAATGGGAAAAAAAATTAAATAAAAACTAACTGAATACGAAAAACATGAATAAGATTGAGAAAAAACGATGAGAATTTTTAAATATCCTTAATTATTAGAAGTTGATCAATTATGAAATTTGATTTTTAAAAGTTGGATTGAAGAAGTAAAATCAAATTAATTTATTTAACTTATTTAATTCTAACACGTTAAAATAAAAACAAAATTTTTTCATCAAAAGCATTTTTTTAAATTGGCTTCAATTTGATTTTAAAACAGCCGAATACTAATGATTTAATTATTTGCAAATTTTAACAAACTGTCACATTATTATTTGACAATGAAATGTGACATCGGAAAAAAGTAATTAGTTAGTAATAAAAGGTAGTTAAAGTAGTAAAAAGTAATTAGGCTAAAATGTCTATAACTAACATATCATATTGTATTAAAATAATTTTCAAACTGAAAAATTTTTTTTTGCCGATTAATTTATCGTTATTTTAACGGTTAAGGTATATGTATATGACATTTTTCATACACTGATATTTTTAATAATTTTAAAATCACCATAATACGTCATTAAGCTGCTTGCTATCATTGTTTCATCCTGAAAATAACATTACTGTAAAATTTGTTTTATTCCAAAAATAAATGCTGGTTCTCACAACTTGAAGTTTAACTTCGTTCGTATTTTCATTTTTACCTACCGCAGCGAATTAAAAGTTATTTTACGTTACACACATTTCCAATTAAATCGAAAGTAAACAAAAAAAAATTCCAATTGAAAGTAAACAAAAATTTTTGCGATATTTTTGCTAAATCATCGTACCAAATCATTTTATCAAAATTAATCAATGAAAAGATTTTCTTTCTTTTTCTTTTTCTCTCTCTCACATGCTAATTAATTAGCTACTGTTGTTTGAAGTGTCACAAAGCATAGGGTAAATAATTAGGGAAGTAATACAATTTTAGTTGACAAATTTCTTTAACGACCTAAAAAATTACACATTCATTTTCGACACAAACACTTATATTTTATATATTTATATTCTATTCACTACCGTGAAATGAGGCAGTTTGACATTTCAAACAACATCTCTTTGAATTTTAAATAAAAATTTGTGAATATTTCTTCCATTCTGCGAACATATCAATCAATTATCAATGAGAAGTCGTATTGGAACGGAAGAAAACAAAAAAATTTTGTCCATATTTCAAAAATTTTTTTCCAACAATCTTTCACTTTTTTTTTCATTTTTGCTCTTTAATTTAATTTCTATAAAGAACGATGCCTGAAAGATATGAAATCAATAAACATTTAAAATTTGAAATTGTAGCTAACTTTTTCATTATACAGTTCAATTATCGATTATACGCGGATCAAAGGGCTAATGAATAATTAAAAAATGTCTTTCTTCCATTTGCTTTTCGTATTTTCATTTTTACTTTTATTTATTGTTTCTTATCATTGATATTTCGATTCGATTTCGTTCTATATTGCTATTTTTTCAGCTAATTTTGGATTTCTATTCTGATTTTACTTAGAATATTTATTTGAATTATTTTATTAAAATATTAAAATTTAAATGCTGCATTTAAATATGCCAACTTTCTTCTATTTTTATTTTTACATTCATAGTTTTTATCTTCGGTTCCAATTAATTAACATTTCTTTGGTATTTTTTGAAAACTTTTATTGAACTCATTAATTATACTAAAATTTCATACTGTTCTGCAGTTTTGCATAAGCATTTTTTATCGTATTATCTATTTAATAATCAAATTTATCAATTTAAATTTATTTTATCGTCTGTTTCTCTATTTATTCTTTTTTATTTTTAGCAGTTTAATTATTACGGTCAATTCTTTTTTATTTTTGGTAAATTTACTTTAATTAAAGCGTTTGCTTTCCTTTTTTTTTAAGACAACAATACTTAAAAGTCTTAATTATCACAATTAAGTGAAAAGTTTTCTGGTATAGTTTATTGTCTGACACCATTTTGAAATTAATTCATTTCAAAGTTAATACTGATATCAATTCGGCTTAAACGATCCAAATATTAAGTTTAACCTTTGAAAAATAAAGTTATTTTTGGAATTGGTATCAATTAAAAAAAAATAAAATCTTTTTTTTTGGAATTGGATATTAATAATTTAATAATTGCGGTCAGTTCACAACAAGGTTTGAAAGCTAAGTAGAAATTATTTTACGTTTCACTTTGTTTCATATTCTTGCATGACGTAATAGGAACTTTTTATCTTTCCTAACTTACTTTTATTTACTTACGATAATAAGTGGAAGAGTAAAGTAAGAATAGCTCTCTTATTTAAAATATTTAACTGAAATAGGTCAATTCAGTTTAATCACTCTGATTAAAAACCTCATAGGTTATGTACCATGGAGATTTCCACGTAATGTTGAACTTTTAGAATTTCTATAATTGTTGATTCTAATTTATAATTTAAAAAGTTTTCCTAACAGTCAATTTTATTCTTTTATTTCATTCATTTCTTTAGACTATGCGCAACAAAGAAAAATAAGTAATTTGAAACTGTTTAAATTAGTGAATTTTTAGTTTTAAATTGTGGAAAATTATATCTTATTAAGATTTGTACAATTTAGTTTGATTGATTTGACATCAATATCAAAAGCCATCTATTATGTTATCATTGATATAATTATCATGCATTAATGAATAAATCAATACGATCATATCGATATAGAATTATATTGGGATCAATCAATAAAGTACCACATCTCACTTCTAAACTATTCAATTTGAACTTAATTTAAAAGAAAAATTTCCGATCTTTTCATATACTATTAGTAAATAAAAATAAACTATTTGAAATAAACAGTGAAATTTGCAGTACATGCCGTGAGAACCAATGGAAATGTGATGATGCGCCGTGTTTAATTCAAGAAGATTTACTGCAGAAAATTCAAAATGGAAGATATACGTAAGTCAATTTCATCGCTTTAGAATTGTTTAGAAAATTTTGGTATAATAATTATATCAAGTAGTAAAAGGGTCAAAGGTTATTACGAATTTTTTTTCTTTCTTCAAATTTTATTTTGATTAATTTTAGTTGATTAGAAACTTAAATAATATAATTTCAATATGGGTTACTCTTTTATTATTCTCGCAAAGATTGCAAAACTCAATGATTATAATAAATTCGAGTATATTAAAATGCCAAGTAAGACTTTGAATCATTTAATATTAAATCAATTTTTTTATTTAATTTCTGGCTGATAAAGTTTGCTGATAAAAGTTCTACAGATGGGCTTATTTTAAAATATTTTTCTTTGAGTTGGCTTATGAGATTTTGCAATATTACAAGAAACTGCACAATAAAATAACGAAAACTTTTGAAAATTTAAATCACTATTTTCTTATTTGAAAATATTAAAAGAAAATATTATCGAGGCAATTAAATTTGAAAATATGTACAAAATTGATCTATATATGCTTAAATTTAAATTTTGTCAGTAATAATTTAAAAGATTATTGTGTTCATTTTAAAATGAATAAACTTTGCTTAATATTGCAGCAAATGGCTTTTGCAATGACTTTCAAAAAACAAAAAAAAAAAAATAGCCAAAATTGTATAGACGATGGATTCATGAATGAAAAAAAATCTTCCATTCTTTTTTAAATATTTATTTCAAAAATTCACAAATATGAGCAATTGCAGGAAGAAAATATTTGACTTTTCAAAATTTTTATTTTATCTAAATTATGCACATAAAAATTTTTTTAAAATTCATTTCTTCATCTTTCAAAAAAACCGGAAAAAAGTGAAAAATGATCGCTTCCTTTGCAATATAATTATTGGCAAATATAAATTATTACTATTATTTTTTCTCTTTCTTTCATTCAATGCATTTTTGCCATTTAATATTTTTGAATTTTATCACGAACAGTAGGAAAAAATCGTAAATTAATGATAAAATTTTGTGTCACCGGTCAGTAAAGATAAACCATTGATAATTCAACAATTTTTATTAATTATGCAAATTATAATCCTAGTTTGTTACTGTTATGAAATGTAAACTCATAAAGTTAAAAACTATCAAAATATGATTGTTTTGTGTGTTTCAGTTGGACAGCACGAAATTACTCACAATTTTGGGGACGTACATTGGACGATGGGATACGTCATCGTCTCGGAACACTTTTTCCGGAACGAAGTGTTCAGGTATTATTCGATCAATTTTTTTAGTTGCGATTTAATTGATTATATTTGATAACTTTTAATTGATAACTTTAATTTCTTCATCACTTTTTCGTTGTTTTTATTAATGTTATTTTATTGATCTTTTTTTTACTCCTATTCAACTCCCCATTTATTTTTCTCTAATATCATAAATCTCATCATTTTCATTTTTAATATTATTTTCAATTACTACATCATTTATTTAGATCTATTTTTTTGTTTTAGAAAAAATGATCAAGAAAGAAATTGCTAAAGTTTCAAAAGTTTGCCAAAAAAAAAAAAACAGAATTTAAACGATTACTAAAAATTATTTTGTAGAATATGAATGAAATGGTTGTCAAACCACGCGAATTACCAACAAGTTTTGATGCACGACAGAAATGGCCCAATTTCATACATGGAATTCAGGATCAGGGAGATTGTGCCAGGTATAATAATGCAAAACCGCAATACCAAAACTTTTATTATTATTTTTTTCTTTAGAAAGAATTAATTTTTTTTGTTATGTCAAATTAAAACAATTAAATCAAAGGTTTACATTGAAATAATTTAACCACTTTTCTCTTGATAAATTTTCATTTCATTGCGCACTTCATCATGGATAAATTTTTTTTTCTTCTTGTACCTCATGGGTAAATTAGTAAATTTTCATTTCAATTTGCAGCTCATGGGCGCAATCGACAGCAGCTACATCAGCTGATCGTTTAGCGCTAATAACGAACGGTCGACAGAATGTTTCACTTTCCGTTCAACAATTTCTGTCATGCAATCAGCATCGGCAAAAAGGTTGCGAGGGTGGTTATTTGGATCGAGCCTGGTGGTATATTCGAAAGTTTGGGTTCGTTTCATCCATCAATAAGTATCACCCAATCATAAACAAATAAAATTTTTCAAAATTGTAGTTTCATTTAATGGCCAATTTAATTAGGAAAAAATTTTTAACAACAATCGTTACAGAGTGGTGAGCGAAGAATGTTATCCATACGTAAGCGGAACTACAAGAAACCCTGAAATATGCCGAATACAAAAATCCAAACACTCCAATGGACAAAAGTGCCCAAGTGGACATCATAATTCACGAATGTACCGTACCACGCCATCCTACAGGTAAAAAAGTAAATATTTTAATTATTTTTTTCCATTGTTTTGTTAAAATTTAGAAAAAATCGCTATCAAATTTAATATCTTCAAAATTTCAACAATCATTCTTAAAAAAAAAAAAAAAATTTGCAGAGTTTCAAGCAGAGAAAAAGATGTTATGTCTGAAATATTAACAAATGGTCCGGTTCAAGCAACATTCCTTGTTCATGGAGACTTCTTCATGTATAGGTAAATCATGAATCACTTCACTGATATGATGATAATTTTATCACCCATTGACTTTCCATTTAAACTTACTGTTCTGCAATTAATAATAATCTAAACAACAATTTTCATCACGAAACTAAGATATGTTTAAAAAATTTTTAATTACTAAGAAGCTGTCATACCACAAATATCGTGTTGTCATCTGTGAGGACTGTTATAAAATTTTAAAGTCTTAGAAGGATTTGCAATTTTTTTGCCCATTCTATAATTGTTGAAGAGTTAGGTGATTAGAGAAGGTTAATCATTAAAATGTTAACCAAAACAATATTTAAATATTCCAGTGCCGGAGTGTATAAACATTTGCCAACAACTAAAGAAGAACCAGAAGGATATCATTCAGTACGACTTCTCGGGTAAGCATTTTTCATCATAATATTAAATCTTCAAAGTCAAAAAAAATGTTGGAAAACGTTGCTTTTTTTCAGTGAATGAAATTATAAAAAATGAGTTGTGACAGAGATAAAATTGAAATTATCTTAAAGAATAAATGAAATCAACAGAAACTTTCATTTCCCTATCAAATAAAAGCAAATTTTATCTTTAAAATTATTAAATTAAAACTGTCATAACTAATTGCTTCCATTTTCAATTAAATATTGCTAAAATTTTCATCATTCTGAATATTTTCTAAGTTTATTTTTTAGTCGTTGTTAATGTTAGAAGAAATGAGAAAAGTTAACAAATGAACACATTATATCATTTGATGATATTTTTTGGTGTAAAAGAAGAAAGAAAATTTTCAGATGGGGTGAAGATTACTCGACAGGCATACCGGTAAAATATTGGATTGCTGCTAATTCATGGGGTACTAATTGGGGTGAAAATGGTACATTTCGTATTTTACGTGGTGAAAATCATTGTGAAATTGAATCATTTATAATTGGCGCATGGGGTAAAGGATTCAAAAAGCGCCGACGTTTGTTGAAATTACGAAAAATACGGCGACGATTCCGGATGATATAATTATTCATTTATCTTTCCTAAATAATTATCTTTTTTCATTCTCTTTCTCTCGCCCTTTCTCTCTTTTTCCCATCCTCTCCCAGAACACTCTACTGCCTTTTTTGGTCTTTCATAGGATATTTGCATTCACTCAAAAAAAAAAAACGAAAGAATCATTGTTTGTAATTTTTTTTTTAAATTGGTCTTAAAACTAACTTAATTAACAATAAATTAAAATTATAGAGTAATGTAAAATAAAAAACAAAAAAAAGTGTGCGTCAGAATTTTTTTCGAGCTAATTTTAACTTTTGTTAATTTAACCCTTTCAATTACAATTATCATTATCAGTGGAAAATAAATTAGAAACAACAAAATAAATCGTTATTTAAAAAGAAATATCATTCACACTTTGCAAAAAATTCTCTGTGAACAGTATTATTTTTATGATACCTTATTATCTTATCATCTGGCATGGTTAATTTGTCAGTTTACTAAATGCTACCTTTGTTTATTTACTTAATATTAAACTCTTTGTTTTAATTAAAAATAAAATTAGTATTTTATTATAATAAATTATGAGAATGCCCAAATATTAGATGAAAAACCTTTACCTTGTTAATGTGTCATTTACTGTTCAAATTAAATTCAATCGTCTGATGTTAGTCCAAAGTATATATTTTATAGCTTGAAAGTAAGCATTTTCAAATAAATTATAAGGATTTGAAAAAAAATTTTTAAATAATAAGTCTCAAAATTAGCACCATAGGAAACAATAAAATTAAAAAAATCATTGTAGTTTTTAACACCACAACATAACTTAACAAGTGTACGTGAAAAACAAAATCTATACGTCGCTCAAAAAAATGATACGCGAGAATCTCTAAAAAATAATTCCCGCGGATCTCCCAAGATTGATTTCTGGGGAAGCTATATTTTAAGTAAACTCGCACATGAAGCAAAACTTTCTCGAAAATATGATTGACCTACCTGATTTTTTTCTTCGCACTGTAGCTGCCGTAAATAAATTCATCACTGAAATAGCCGAATAATTTTTCATAATGTAAAATCAAACAAGAATAAAAAATTTTTACTCTTAAAAAATTCTGAGTTAATGTTAATTTATAAGTGAGCAAAAGATCCATAAAGAAAAAAAAAGAATGCTCAGGAAGGATAAAATGCAATGAGTGCTACAAAATGGAATGATAAATGATAAGTTAATTTCATAATTGATCAGGAAAAAATTACATGTATCTCATGTACTTTCACTTTGTCATAAAGAGCAATTCCGTATTAATTCAATTTTTACAAATTTTTATATTGTTTTGCTGCCATATTTCCCATACCTTAAATGAAATCTTTTAAAAATGATTTTCACTGAGGCATAAAATTTAACAAAATGATAAGTTACGAAAATCTCATCAATAATAATACTTTAACAGGTATTAAAATGCGAACTACTCACATCACAATAACGTTTAAATTTCAAAAAAAATTAAAACACAAGACATCTGATGTTTAACTTTGAAATACCTTTTTAAATATAATTTCAAATGCGTCAACACATAAAATTTACGTGGGAAACATACATAGCTATGCTAGCATTTTATTCTTATTCCTTTTTATCTTAAAATTTTTTAAAATACTCCCTTAAAATATTTCAGTTTAAATCTGAATTCACATTCAATCGATGACGCATTCATAATTTCTTGACAATATGATAGAATGACTTAAAATATAGCAAAATGATGATAATATTATTCTTCATAGTCGAAAACAATGAAATTTTCAATCGTTCATTTTTATTTTTTATAATGGTTGAGTCATTCTCGTATTGATAAAAATGCTATAAAAGTGTGCTAATTTTAGATTATTTTGTTGCTTTCAAATTTGCAAAATTTGTTTATTCATTTTAGGATTAAATAGAAGAGATCAATTTCTGTAACAGTATTGTTTACAATACGTTGAATTATTTTTACATATTTTTTCATATACTCAAAGCAAAGCGTTAGAATAAATTTTTCATCGAAAAGAAATCAAACAGTGAAAAAGTTTTAAATACTTTAGTCATTTAATTATTTATTCATTAATTTTCATTTATTATGTTGGTTCGTGTTAGAGTATTATTGAAAAAGTTTAGAAAAAAATCTAACATTTCTGTGATCAGTTTGGATCAATGAAAATCTGACGGAGCATTATTTGCAAGATCGAATTATTGGAAATAACATTTAGCACTGTAATTTTGTTATTTTAAATAATATTAAATTGATTTAAAAAATATTCCATATTATCAAATCTCCCGGTATTGATATAAAAAAAGTGCGACCTTTATGACAGGAACAAATTGATCAAATAGTGGTATTCATGAATCGGAAAAAGATAAATCGAAATGAATAATAATGAGTAATTCTAAAATAATATTCCTTTGCTTAATTTTTTCCTCTTTTCCATAATGTAAAATTTATTGTTATATGCTCTTAATAAAATATTTGCAAGAGAGGATTGAAAATTTTGATTAAATGTCTTTGGTATATTAATTTCAAATATCCCATTGAAAATAATTTAATTATTTCTTCACTTATTGCATTGCAATGCATTCAAACTATTAATTTTCATTCATGGAAAGGTAAAATTGGAGAAAAAATAATAATTTTAAAGAGATGAAAAAATTTTTTGTTCCTTCAAATTGTTATAGGATAAGATAGTAATAGTATGCAACAATTGCGATGTAAAATTGTTGTAGCTTTAATTCATAATTTTTAACTCATTTACTTTCTTATCATACAAAGATCATTCATTCATATTCCGTTGTCCTTTATTCATTTGTGTTTTGATAAGCATTTTTATCACAATGCTATCTTTTGCTTTTTGCTTCCATCTATATCAATAAAGATCAAATGCAATCATTTTAAATGAGCAATTCAAGTAAAGAATATTCGATTTTATTAATTCAGTTCATTGCTTATCCCATCATTTTTTTACTCCAAATTTCAAATATTCATTTATATTTTTAACACATGACGTTGTTTCCCGGTATTTCCCGGCAAAATCAGGAAATTCCAAAATGTATGAAAAGAGAAGCAAAATAATTCGTTGTTATCACGAAGTGATAATATTTGAACGGATGAAATGAGTACGCTTGATTACATTTCTTTAGAATGCTAAGGAATGCTTCCTATCATTTCATTTTTCGTTTTCTAAATTCATTCATTGATATGATTGGCTGGAGAAAATTTCGTATTATTACTATTTCTGTTATCATTTATGCTATTTGCATTTATACAAATAATAATTTATATACGAAATTACCATTGCATTTTGATTACGATACGATTGATGATCGATTTCAATTGATTTCAAACATTTTCAAGTTATCATTTTACTTACAATGTGCTTCCAAATTTGCTAACAAATTTGATTGTAAAATTTCCAACATTCAAACTCGTTGGCATAATTTTCTGTTGCAAACATTTAATCAATGAGAAATAAAATTAAAATTTAGTATTTTTCAATAACTTGTTTTATTATTTAATAATTAATGCTGAAATAATAAATTGTAAAATTTTGTAGGAAAAATTTTGCGGATGATTGGGAACATGCAGGTGCTGCATTAACAGTTTACTTTAAAGATCAGAAAGTTCTCGATATTTGGGGCGGATATGCTGATGTGCAAGCGGCCAGGAAATGGCAAGTGGTAAGCATTACATTATTTACAAATTTCAAATTTTCATCCAAATTTTGCAGTAATAATGAAAGCATTTTAAAAGACGTTTCTTTTACTGATAAAATATAATCATATGGAATTTTGGATTAATTGTAAAAGATAACAAGGATGATATTAACAGTACTCAATTATTAATTTAATTTTATTAAATAATAATTTGAGGATACAATCATTCCAACATTTTCATGCTTAAAACGAGTGATGGCATTATGTGTTGCACTGATTGTCGAAAGGAAATTAGCAAAATATGATGATCCAATTATCAAATATTGGCCTAATTTTGGTAATAATGGCAAAGCTAATATTACCATTCGAATGTTAGCATCACATGAGGTATGATATTATCGTTCAAATTAAATTTAACGTTTTTTTTTCATTTTGTTCATATTTTTAAAATCTTGAAGAATTGCGCTTTTCGTTTACAAATTATTACAAATTGATTATTCATGATTTTTTATATAGGCAGGTTTGACTTATTTGGACAAACCAATTAGTTTGGAAATTGCCGACGATCATCAAACAATGAGGTATACGTGATATAGTTTGAAAATATTGCTATTAAAAGTTTAAGTCCAATGAATGAGTTTTTTGAAATGCTCAAAAATCAAGAATTAATCAGTGAACTAAAATAAAAGTGCTTGTTTTTCTCCGTCTACTTTTCCAACATTAATCAGTAAAGATGAGAGGAAGATTATTTTGAAATTGATCACTTATCGCTTTTTATAGAAAAATGCTCGAGAATGAGCAACCGAAATGGTTATCGAGAAAGGAATTCGGTTGCCATGGATCTTCGTACTATTGGCTTATTGATCAATTAATTCGGCATATTGATAAGAAAAAACGTGGCGTACAACAATATTTTCACGATGAAATAGCATCAAAACCTGGTAATAATAAATTTAATTCATTTTGCGATATTAATTTCAGATAGAAAAATCAATTTCAGGAATTGATTATTCGATCGGTTTAACAATGACAGAGGAATATCGAGTGGCTCGAATGACAATGCCTTCCTGGTCTGATATCCTTAGCGAAATTTATCAAACTCCTGATTTGACACGAACTTTGTCATTTCAATTTTCTGCACTTAAAGTATACATACAGTTGACCGAAATTTTATTTTATGTAATGTATATGGCAAAGTTTAACTTTATGTAAATATAAGGAATTTGCTAAAAATTTGACAATTTTGAATATGATCATTTAATATTTCAATGCAAAATTAACTTCTCAAGTAAATTTAGTTTTACTGTAACTTTTAACTTAATTTCATACTCAAACGATTGTTTTTTACTTAAATTTAATTCATTTAACATTTCAGATAATTGCAGGACTCGATAATATATAAAGTTATGCATAATTTAAAATGGTTAGATCCAAACAAACCAATGCAAATTAACAATCCAAATTTTCATCATTTATTATATCACGGATTTGGTAATGCAAGAAGTTTAGCACAGATATTTCATACGGTTAGATAGATGATTGTACTGTATTTTACAGTATTCGATTATTACAATGTCGACAAACAGTAATTAATTTAAAATTTTGCTATTTTTCAAAAGAATTACTGCACTATTTCTGCAATCTTTTTTCTAAAATGTATGATAAAAAATCATTTTGCAGTTATAATTAAATTGACCTAAAATTTAGAAATCAATTCTTATTTCTAAATTATTTTTAAAATTGTTCGGACTAATTTTGCTACAATTATTCTATTAATTATTCCAAAATAATATTTTACAGTTGACGACAGGTAAACTGTTGTCATCTGCAACAGAACTTCTTTACGATAATAGCACAGATATATGTACAATGAAATATTTAACAAAGAGCATTGGCTTCTTAGTTTTCATCAATCAACCACAGGTTTTTTTTTTTTTTAAATTTGATTGAGAGATTTAAATTTTCAATCTAAGATTAAAATTTCTATAGTCAAAAATTAGCACTTTTGAAATTAATTTGTAAATTACGGAAAATAAATTTTTAATTACATTGCCACAAATATAGCAAGATATCCATTTACTTTGTATCATTTCCTGATTTATTTTTCTGGCCATCTTTCCAGGTGACACATTTATTTGGCCATTCAGGCTTCGGTTGTCAACAAGTCATTCACGACACTCGAAATGATCTCACAATTGCTTATGTAACAAATGCTATCAAAGTTGGTACATATGAAAAATGTCGCACTTACATTCGCTTACAAAATGCAATTTACGATATTGTTGAAAAAATTAATGAAATTTAAAATTCATTCACCTTTGATAATATCTGTATTATCAAGCATTAATATGATAAGAACTATTATCGGTGATAGCATCACTACTGTTGTTGATGTTGAGAATAATTACGCGAATAATAACAAAAACAATGCAATAACCATGATCAACATTTTAATTAATTATAGTTTTGATTAATTTTAAATGAGTACCACATTAAGGGTTCAAATTTCTGAATAACTAATTAGCGTTATTTCAATAGCTGCTTATTTTTGCTACAATCTTGCCAAACAAATACATTGAAATGTTTGTTTCACTTTCTTTTTAAATTTTAAAATTAAAAAAAATCAAGAAGCAATAAACAATTTTTTTTTTTGAACCCATCATCTCATTTCAACTGATAAAAATTATTATTTGATCAATTTTGTATTATTGATCATTTTTACGTTAAAAACTGTCTTTTAGAAATAGAACGCGGTACAGATTTTTTCTAGTATGTTTAATTAATGATTATATCAAAATTCAGAAAAAAAAGAAAAAAGAAAAGAAGAAGAGATGCTGCATGTTTTGCTCCTTTTTTCCTTTTTTCTTTTCACTCTTTTCAATGCTTTTGTAATTTCACTTCAAAATTATTCAAAAGGCATCATTTCAAAGAGGAAATAATGCCTTTTTGCTTCCTTTTATATCTTCAAAGAGAAGAACAAACGTTTCAATTCAATTTGCTTTTACATTTCCTTTTCTTTTTTCCTCTTCCTCTCTCCCTCTTTCTTTTCCCCTCTTCTTTCTTTTTTCCTTAATAGTTTAAATGAAATGGTCGAATAAATGAATGAATTTCATATTTTATATTCGTTTTTTTAAAGAAACAAAAAAATGTTTTCATTTTTCTCCGGTTTAATTTGTTTTTTAATTTATCTTTAATTGGAATTAATAAAAAAAAGTATTAAAAGGTATGTGAACAGAAATGACATGCTTTATTCATTTATTTACAAAAAAATTAAAATACAAAAATAAATATCGATAGTGTCATCATCGGTAAACATTCCAGAAACTACTAAAAATTGCTATTTTATTTAAAATTTTTTAAAATTTTGTCAAATTTGATAAAAGTTTTTAATTAAATAAAGATGAAAAAATGCAAAAAAAAGTGAAAAATTTTTGAACATGATTCAAATTGATTTTAAAAGTAAAAATATAGGTTTTTTCTGAAGGTTTAAAAAATTTAAATTTAGAATTAATTTAATGAGAGTAGATGTTTGATAAATAAAACATTCATTTTTTCGGATTATTACAATCTTTCTCTCTCTATTTTATTCCAAGTACATAAATTTTAACTTTAAATGTTTCAAATTTATTTCTATGCTTAATTGAATGATAAAAACATGAAGTCATCCAATTCTTGCTTTCCAAAAAGCACTTTAATTTTATTTAAGTTAATCATTCCTAGCTAATTGGAAATGAAACAATGAACAATAAAGCATAGACTGCTCATCACATTATGCTCGTTATTTTAAAGATTAAAAACAAAACAGTTCTGCGCGCTAATTACTAATTCGTAGTAAATCTCAGGATGTATCAATTTCATCATCAAATTCAAATTTAAAATCAAATTACATTTACTAAAGAATATTATATTGGACAGTATTTTACATGCCTATTCTCTAGGAATATACTCACTCTCTATTGAAAAGAATTCAATACTTTGAATTATATTCGAATTCAATTCTTCTTAAATTTTGCTAAATGTTTTTATTTCAACAGATTTTCGTCCAATTTTCCAAATTTCAATATCTTATCGATTTCTGTTATCTTTTCATTTTTAACATCTCATCAATCATAGTTATTGTCACAAAATATAAACATATCTGCCTACACTTTGCTCAAATCTCTGTGTTTTTCTTCCATCGTCTGATTAAATGCTGTTCTTCAAAATTTTCACGTTTTAAAATTCAACGCTTTTCCTCAAAGTTTTCACGTTTTCAATCCAATGTTATTTGACGTCTTCAAATTCAATGTTACTGTTCAAATTTTTCATGTTTTCAAGTGCAACAAATCCAACGTTAAATCTTGAATATCAAAACATCTCATCACTTTCACATCCTTTGTAAAATCAATCATCAAAAGATATTTCGGACAGAAAATAACAAAGAAAAATATCATATAATGAATAAAATATGTTCGAAATTTGACAAAATTGATTATCAATATAACCTTATCATTTTAAAATGAAATATTGCGAAATGTTTAAAAAATAGCTTTCATAAAATTCACTGATTTATGAGAGAGAGAGAGAGATATTTTTTAAACATTTTGCAATATTTCATTTTAAAATGATAAGGTTATATTGCTAATCAATTTTGTCAAATTTCAAACATATTTTATTCGTTATATGACATTTTTCGGGCGAGATTTAAGAGCTGAAGAAATTTTGGTTATTGAAATTGTTGTTTTTGTTGTTCGCTCAAATATAACTTCAACCATCTGCTTCAAATTTTCTCCTTTCATCCTCCATAATTGTTGCTTTCCTTTTGTTGTCACATGGAATGAATTAGCGGTAGTTGACAATCTCTGATCACATTCATTTCCTCGCCCATACAAAATTGTCAATCTCGGACGAAAACAAACCATCGTAACATATATTTACAATTTTTTTTTTACAATTTCCATTAAAATTGAAACATATCACGGTACTTTTTTTCTAATTCGGATGAAATAGAATCGAAAGTCAAATAAATTTTTTTGTTAAATTTAATTAGAAAATAAAAATATGAAACAGAAAGAGTACAATTTATTATCGACAAGTTTAGATGATTGAAACAATGCAATCTATCACTGACAAGTTTAGATGATTGGAAGTTAAAAGTTTTTTTTTTTATTATCACCGCTCAACAGCTGCTTATCAGCACTGATCTTAAACGTTTAAGCTTGGTAGACAAATAGATAATTTAATGAAAATTTTTCATCAAAAGAAGTAAACAGATTCTATCGGATTGCAAACCTTGAGGCTTCTTTGTTAGTTAGTGAAATTTCAAATAAATTAAATCCATTAGTAAGTATCTTAAAATCATTTAAGTTAGCTTCGAATTTCAATTGTCACTAGATTGAAGTTTAAGTTTAAATGAAATTAATTTTGCATCGAGCAATTTTATGGAGCGCAAAAAAGAGCAAAAAAAGTAAAATGAAAATATAAATTGAATTGAAATGCTAGAAATAGCTGATTAGAAAAATTAACAGTGCTGAAAATTGATTCACTTTCAATTATTTTTTAATCTCAGTCAAAATGTGTATAAGAAAGGGAGAGAGGGAGAGAAGAGGAGAGGGAGAGTGAGAGTTAGAAGGTAGAAGATGGCAGTAGTTTGATGATATGATGATGATGATGGCGGCGGTGGCGGTGGCGGTGGATGGAATGAAAAAGTCAGCTGTGGAAAGTGGAAACTATGAGTATTAGGGAGAGAATCTGTCTCATTTAATATACACTGATATCATGATTTGATAATCAGTTGTAATCACCGTTATCATTATCACCATATCATCATTTCATCGTTCATCATTATTCTGCTTTTCGGTCAAATCTATTTCTTTTTTTGTCTAGGGATTATTTCATCTCTTCATCATTAATTAGCTAACTTATCTATAATCTTAACCAAGAATAACAAACTTTCTTATCAAAAATAACTGTTTTCTGCTCAGGTTCAAATCAAGAGTGATAATGTCTCTTATCAGGTTGCATTAAGCATAATTTATCTGTCGTCGAGCAAACATCAACAATAGTTACAAAAAAAAAATTTCTTCAATTTATTCCATGATAAAATTTATTAAATTTTTTGATTGAATAAACTTTTTTCAAAATCTAAAATTGAAATGGGGAATTTTTTTTCGCAATAATCGCTGAACAACTTATAATCATATTATAATTGAAAACGAAATTTTTTCATTTGCAATCTAATGGAAACTAAAATTTACTATTCAATTTTCAAAAAAAAAAATCATCCTAAAGACTCAAAAAATAAGTATAAATTTAATAATTCTAATCATTGCCTAAAATAATGAAAAATTGAAAGTTAAACTTCAATCAATTTTTTTTGCTTACAAAAAAAAACATGTTTGTTTACAAAATTTCTTAAATAAATCGTTTATTTCCTTGAATATTTCAAATCATTATTTAAATATCACGGACAGATTGTCATGCCATAAATTCGAAAATAACATAAATGTTTTAGCACCCTTCAAAAAAAAAGCTCCTTTTATATCTTTTCATGTGATATTTCAATCAATTATTTACCGTACAGATTTAATGTTAAGATTTAAGAGGAAAGCCGCTCTGTTACTTTTATGATTTCAATTGCCATCATTCATTTGATTATTGATGTCATCATCTTCTCAAATATATACATAAATTTTTTTTGGATTTTTTTTTTGAAAAACCAAAAATGATATGAAATGCGGCATTGTTGGTGCTTTTTTTTCTGTATACTTTCAGATGAATATTTGCAAGTGAGAGGAAAAAGTAAAAAATGAACCGAATTGCCCTTTTTGTTATTAATAATTGTTGACAGTTTCGGACAAAAAAATGACAGAAAAAAAATGAAAAGCAAATATTATCAACAAATGCATTATTATCA